GTTTCCCGACTTTTCAGTAAAACCATCAATGAAAGTTCGGAAGAAATTGTGGCTTATAATTGATGCAAAGAAGTAGTTTTTTGAAACGCATTTGAATTATTTTGGGAAGTTCCAATTTCTAAAGGATTTTTTAAACTGCAACTTCACATAAAATGGTAGTCGTAGCTTGGAAGTGTTTGACCTGATATTTAGTTAGTAGTTCGTATGTATGTTAATTCTATGAAATCCGTATAAATAAATTGGAGGCTAAAATTCATCGTCAGCACTGCGGTCATTTATTTTTAAAGAGACGTTGTCACATTGCACCTGTTCAGAATATGAATGAGGCTAAAAGAGAGCCTTGAACAAATACAAACAAATATGCTTCACTGATTGCAACCTTCATTTTAAAATCATCGATAATTTCTGAAGAACCATCCTTGGATTTTTTCATCATGGTAGATTCTGAGATCAGAGTTTTCAATAAAAACAAAACAACTTCATTGCATAATACAATCTGATAATACAATGATAAATCAATTTGGTCGACCTAAAAAAAAAAAAAGGTCGTCAAAATTTTGGAAAATCTTTCGAAAATCCGCCCCCCCCCTCGAGAAAATCCTAGATCCGCCCCTGTACAATCATAATTATGAAAGGGAAAGCACATTTTTCAGAAAATAGAATTATTGTCAGTTTCCATGCAAAAAATCATAAATATTTTTTCTAACACTTATTGTCTTTTTAAAACTACATTTGTACCTGTTTTGATAATAAAAGTGAGAACATTTGCTCAGCGGTTCTGTTCTTACCGGTTAACTACCAGCTTCATTCACATCAAATGAAGCATATTATAGCCATAAGATGCCCGAAGACATTTCAACCCCTGATCAGCAGCGCCAAGTACTAACTAGTCCCGTTATGACGAAACTGTTCGATTAACAGAAAGTGCAAATATGCAGGGAAAAAAATAATTTTTATTCATAAAGCCCCCTGGAGAAGAAGCATCGGTGCTCTTTGCTCGCAGAAACGCTCGCTAATTTCAATTAACCAACATAATTTTTTTTAAAAAAATTATGCAGTACGAATTGAAAAGCTTTTCTTAAATTTTTTTTTCGTGTTTTCGTCTAATTGCAACATCGGGGGTTTTATAGGCCCCTATGCTCTGCTCTGGTCCAAATCAGCGCCATTGCGAGCGGAATTCTAATGAAAGGGACCCATTTGCGCCTTAATTGTTCCTCAATTTCCCCCCTAGCTAACTCAGAAGGAATCAGCACTCGCTAATACTGTATGAAAAAATATATGAAAAAAACAGACTAGAAAGTGGAAATTGCGAAATAAGAAAAGTCCATTTATATAGTTATTATGTAATAATAAGTATGGAATAAGGTTGTACTGAAATGGAGATCAAAAGAGAGTCTGCAGAGGGGCGTGGCGTGTATAATAACCTAATTTTAATAAATGAGTTTCTATATTTCAAGTTACCATTCGGAATTCAGATGACATTAAACTGCAATCCGCGCTGTGTTCAAGCCGAGCCTCCCATTTAAACTTTTTCAAATCACTCCGAGTTTTTTTTTCAATTTTTTTTTGAATACAGAAGTTGTTTGGTTGCAGCTAGAGCAAAAAAAGCCTTCTATAACAAATTGCTCTGATAAATTTAGAGATATTATCAAGAAAAGAATTGCTTTGTTTGCCTCGGCAGATTTGACCTCAAAAAAGTCTCAGTTGTTGCCAAAAAGATATGAAATTGGCTCAAGGGAAGAAAAAATCACAACTGAAAAGGTACATCAAACATGTTTAATAGTCTGGGGGCGATTAGATTAGATTGATTAGGTAATTTCTCGCATAACTGTTTTTATATCAATAATCTTAAGTTGTTGACTCGAACTGATATCCAAAAATAAAATAAATCACAATGAAAAATCTTAGCACCGAAAAAGGTAATGAACACATAAATTTAATGTATGCATTTATCGGTGCCGCGGCAACTTGCAAAAAAGACAATGCGCAAAAAAAGAAAACTCGCAAAAGGAGACAACTGTACGTATAAAACTCGGAAGAAAACTAAATTTTTCCTCAATCTAAATGTGAAACAAAAAAAGCGGTAAAACATCAGAGCCATTGAGGGGTCAACATTTTTGTGGTACAAAAGGGTTTTACAGATCAAAATTAAATGAAAGAGCTTCCAGCTGCGAAATTAGATCATTGTTCTGATAGTTTTTAAAAGTATCTGATATCCTTTGTTGCAATTGTTCATATTTAGGACATTTATAGGGTTTTTCTCCGAATTTTAACCGAATCAGGCGATTGTTGGTTAAACTTTTCTCCTTCCTTATTTGCTGAATTAATTTTGGTACAGTGGGGTGAACATAACCCATTGCTAATTGAAAAACTCTATTCCATCCTTCGAATGAATTGTTGTTTTTTTTTATTTCCATTTTTTGAACTGATTCCATATCGCTTCGTGCGCTTCAATTATACTGAATTAGTCAATGAAATGAAGTATAATAACTTAAAACCTAACAACTTCATGATAAAAGGCCACAGGTGAAAGTTTTCAAAAAGTGAGCTCAAGGCGTTGATACTGTTTTAGATCATATAGGGCTAAATAGAAAAAGTCAAAATTGATCTACGTGAAAAGAAACCAACTCGATTTCAAATATATATTTTTGAAAGTCAAACAAGGGCTCAGTTTCTTATGTTTTTTTTTCAGAAAAATGAGAAATCATCGTTTATAATTTGATAAAGTTTTTCAGGGCCTGATGCAACCTTACCAAATGATCGATCGTTCATCCGTTATAAATAGAGAAAAACCGAAAAAATTAAACCTTTCTTACAATGAGTTTACAAAGCGAGATAAACCCCGCCCCTCCCTAAATCCGCCTCTGCTTCAAATCGCAAAACAAAACATTATTGGTGATCGGAACCAATAATTTAGTTTCTGAAAAATCTCGTGACTTGAACTCATTTAAGCTCGCGTATTCTATGTTGAAACATTATATTACAGTTATCCTTTCGAGATTCCTTTTTAATATGCTAAATTGGAACAAAGTAAGTTTATGAAAACTCTCTTGGATTTGATGCCTATCTTCGAAATTTTGAGTTCTGTTTGGTAGACAAAGTACCCGTTTACTTGTAATAATCCATTTGCTCGTAAACTATGGTTGGGATTAACACAACTGGAAGATTAGTTATAATCTGACAGCTGAATTTACCGGTGAAAGGTTGCCCGTCCAGCAATTTATACCCAAGTGCCACACAACGGCCTGAATAAACAAACTTCACTCACAGCCAAAATTGGACTTTAGGTTAACTAATAACTATTCATAACTTCTCCTTCAGGTTAATCTTAACTAGCGGCACTTAACATGACTATTTTTTAGGTTATCTAACAGCTTTCATGTAACTCAGTCTCAAAATTGGTCGCGTCAATTCTTTATATCCGAATTGAGGACTTTTCGTCCTCAATTGGTCGCGAAGAATTCTTTATATCAAATTGGGATCAGTTTATAGCAAGGATTAGCTTATAGCAAGAAAATAAGTGATCTCCCCTTGAGTATGTTTTATTGTCGTGAGAAATCTAGGAAAGGATCTTCTGCTCAAAGTAATCCCAAGTTAATGGTTCCAAATTGACCGTAAAATGACCATAATTTCTGCTTCAGTTGCATTTTGGGTTTAGCAAGGATTAAATAATAAAGCAAATAAAGAAACTGTTTTGCAAGTTGCGACCTTTTTATGAAATAGCGGATTGTTTCTAAGATGCTTACAAATTTATCGCGATTCTTCAAATTAAATTATCCTTTTCGCTTAAAACTTTATTGCCCGATAATGATTTTCTTCTTATGTAGTAAGGGTGTGTGAACTTTTTGCCAGATCTGTTCCCAGGAGAACCTTAGAAACATGCATAGAAATAGGTTTTTTAGGTTTTATGTCAGTTTTTTGTAGTTTCCTTATTTATTTACAATCAGAAATTGCCGCATAAGCAAAACGCGTCTTGCAGCATTGTTGAAGCTGCATCATAAGCTGGGGCGGATTTAGGAGGCGGGGGGAGGGGCTGATGCTTGCTTCTCTTCAGGGACTCGACCCTCTGCCGACCCAAAGTGTCCTCTTTTGATACTTTCTTAAAATATCCGTTTTAGGCTAAAAACGGCTCGGGCTAAATATATACTAAATTTGAAGGAGTAGCGGGCGCCAAAAAATGCATATTTTTTGTCAAAAATTTCCGAAAACTACCTAAAAACGTCTTTTTTGGCCTGTTTTTTAAATAAATTGACTGCGGTGCATTTTTTTGTCTAAATATGGTCCTTATAGGGCTCTGTGAAAAATGTCGAAAACGTTTTGAAAATCCGAAAGTTCCCGTCCCCTCATAAAAATCCTCGATCTTTCCTTGAACATAAGTGTTCCTAGTATTTTTTGCCCAAATTTTTCGATACTTGGTGAATGGAGCTCTTTTTTCACCACTCCGTAGTGAATATTTATTACAAACTTGCTTACAAACTTGTAGAGCCATTAATTACAGCGTAAAACTGAGGTTTAGGTGGGGAAGTTAATGCTGCAAGACGGGAAGGGAGGGGGGGGGAAGTTATTACCAGAAAATGGACCACAATCAATCCAATAATTACTTTATTGCAAATGCTCATGTGACTTTTTTCTACATAAATCGAAAACATCGGTCTTTAATCGCTATTTTACGGCCAAAAATGTAGATTGTGGATGAAGTTATTTTAATTTAAAAAAACATACTTGCCCTTTTTTTCGACATGTAACATGCTATTAGCTGTTTTTAGAAACCATTAAGTGATTTGGGGTTCGAAAGCCCACTCTGAGAGTCCAGACGATTGCGTGTTCGAATTCTAATTTGATGAAATTGGGACAAGAATTCTTTGCGTGAGTGATAAAAATGCACTTACGTTCTTCACACATTGGAGGAAAAAAACGAGACCTGGTTATGGTGGGTTTCGAACCTGCAACCATTTGACTAAGAGGCAGAGCGCTTAGCCACTTTAAATTTAGCTACTTACGTTCTACACACATGAGGTCCTTGAATCCATGACAGGAACATCCGAAGGGGTCCTGCTGGCATAGATACATGGTGGCACATGACACCACTCCACTCATGTGGAAAGTGCATCTGGCCTCACAAGTCTGGCCGAACCAGTGCGAGGCACAGGCTGCAAACAGAATCGATAAAGACATCGGGAGATGCAAATTCTCAGACAACAATTCCCATCCCAGAAAAGTTAACTTGAAAAAAACTGCAGGCATTTTTTAACCAGGGTCATAGCAGCAGTTTAACCTAAAGAGCTGAGCAACTCGTGTTCTCTCTTCGATAAATGGTCTCAAAATTGATTGGGAGGATGTTTTCGTTCTCCAAAATGCAACTTTTTCCCCAATTTGACAAAATACTAAAGACAAGAAATCGAAAGACTTAAAGTTTTGTAAGATGATTCTCAGTTGATTTTTTTCTTAAATAATATCAAGTCTTTATACCGTTTTTTTTTGCTAATTTTTTCTGCATTTTTATAACAAAATATCAAAAAAAAAATTTAGAAAAATCACGAAATGATATGCATGGCATAAACTGTTTAGTGCCTCGACTGTGGAAAAGGGTATTGTTTGTTGGAGAGTGCAATTGAGGATGACTCACTGTTCTCGCAGTTGGGGCCGGTGAATCCGGGGGGACAGATGCACCTGCCGCTGCTCTCCTCACACACTCCCCCGTTGAGGCAGAGGGGACAGCTGAACGAACACTCATTCACACCCCCACTGTCCCCGCCCCAGTAGCCCTGGTGACAACCTACACGAACAAACACACAACACACATGTAGAGAGACTTTAAGAGGCCTTAAGAATTAATTTTTTTCTTTTTGAGACTTTAATTTTATTTAGTCCTAAGTTAGTCCTGAGTTTTTCAGGGACTAGTTTGGACCAAATTAACATCCTCTTCCCCAAAGGGTTCATTTTGTTGTTTAGGAGTTATTTTTGTTTTCAGGATTTAATTTTTTTTTCAAGATTTAATATTTTTTCAAGATTCAACAATTCCCATCCCAGAAAAGTTAACTTGAAGTTTTTCAGGAGTTATTTTTTTAGGAGTTAATTTTGTTTTTAGGGGTTCATTTTGTTGTTTAGGAGTTATTTTTGTTTTCAGGATTTAATTTTTTTTTTCAAGATTTAATATAGTTTTTCAGGAGTTATTTTTTTAGGAGTTAATTTTGTTCTTAGGGGTTCATTTTGTTGTTTAGGAGTTATTTTTGTTTTCAGGATTTAATTTTTTTTTCAAGATTTAATATAGTTTTTCAGGAGTTATTTTTTTAGGAGTTAATTTTGTTTTTAGGGGTTCATTTTGTTGTTTAGGAGTTATTTTTGTTTTCAGGATTTAATTTTTTTTTCAAGATTTAATATAGTTTTTCAGGAGTTATTTTTTTAGGAGTTAATTTTGTTTTTAGGGGTTCATTTTGTTGTTTAGGAGTTATTTTTGTTTTCAGGATTTAATTTTTTTTTCAAGATTTAATATAGTTTTTCAGGAGTTATTTTTTTAGGAGTTAATTTTGTTTTTAGGGGTTCATTTTGTTGTTTAGGAGTTATTTTTGTTTTCAGGATTTAATTTTTTTTTCAAGATTTAATATAGTTTTTCAGGAGTTATTTTTTTAGGAGTTAATTTTGTTTTTAGGGGTTCATTTTGTTGTTTAGGAGTTATTTTTGTTTTCAGGATTTAATTTTTTTTTCAAGATTTAATATAGTTTTTCAGGAGTTATTTTTTTAGGAGTTAATTTTGTTTTTAGGGGTTCATTTTGTTGTTTAGGAGTTATTTTTGTTTTCAGGATTTAATTTTTTTTTCAAGATTTAATATAGTTTTTCAGGAGTTATTTTTTTAGGAGTTAATTTTGTTTTTAGGGGTTCATTTTGTTGTTTAGGAGTTATTTTTGTTTTCAGGATTTAATTTTTTTTTCAAGATTTAATATAGTTTTTCAGGAGTTATTTTTTTAGGAGTTAATTTTGTTTTTAGGGGTTCATTTTGTTGTTTAGGAGTTATTTTTGTTTTCAGGATTTAATTTTTTTTTTCAAGATTTAATATAGTTTTTCAGGAGTTATTTTTTAGGAGTTAATTTTGTTCTTAGGGGTTCATTTTGTTGTTTAGGAGTTATTTTTGTTTTCAGGATTTAATTTTTTTTTCAAGATTTAATATAGTTTTTCAGGAGTTATTTTTTTAGGAGTTAATTTTGTTTTTAGGGGTTCATTTTGTTGTTTAGGAGTTATTTTTGTTTTCAGGATTTAATTTTTTTTTCAAGATTTAATATAGTTTTTCAGGAGTTATTTTTTTAGGAGTTAATTTTGTTCTTAGGGGTTCATTTTGTTGTTTAGGAGTTAATTTTGTTTTTTAAAAGTTCGAATTCAATAATCAATGAGTAAACAGGGTTGTAGCTAATTATTACTAATCTTGTCGAGCTTTTTCTTCTTATGGACTATTTAGTTTGATTTCACTTTCACTGATTTAAATAGTTCAGATTTAAGTTTCACAATTTTGCCCTAGGCTTTTTGCAAATCGAAGACTGTTTCTGGCTGGTAATCATTATATAAATATTTCCTTGAATAGTAAAAATTTAAATCCAACCGGCTGAAAGTTATAAAACAAAACAACATTTTGTTGCTCTATGGAGTTTTCAGAGTTTCAGACAACCAACATGTTTAATGAGTTAGCCAGACAGCATAAATTTTAGTTTTATGGAACAAAATCCAGTAAAGCACCGGAATATCAGGATCCGAGGCTTGATCACGAAGAATTATTTATCCCTATTTTTAATCCCTTCATTTCTAAAAACGTAATTTTAGATCACTTCAAACGAAATGTAAGTGCTCAAATGCATACTTTTTATGTCCAAAAGCTAAAAAGAGTGTGTATTGCTCATATATTGTAATCGGTACTTTATGGTAGAAGTCCTGACAAAGATTGGTATGATTTGAAGTTTGAAAATTAATTTTTTTAGTGCGCATCTGAATTTGTTCACGTATCAATAATTCACAAGAGAGCAGATGCTGCTAGAATCTCGGCACCATTTTTGGGGGTATTTTTTTGTTCGCAAATTGAAAAGCGCTTCCTTCCGCCTATCGTCAAAGTGCATCTTATACATCTAATACAGATAGGAACCACGCTACAGATGAAATATTAATCACTTCTGTTCTGCTGCTGTCGAAAGAACTCAATTTATTAGACAGATCAACATCTCGACCGAATTCTGCATGTAAAATGTAGTCTTTGCTTCTTTTAAATGCAATTTTTTAAAATGAAAATCGCAAAACTGGCCGATGTTTTAACTTTCTAGTATTTTGATTTTTTACCTGCTCAATGTCATCAATATAACAATAAAATTGCCGCGTCTTTTGGACTGTATAATATTCCAAGTAGCATTTGCTTACGTTTCATATGGCGATTACTTGACATCATATTTCCCAAGATGTCAACAACAACAAAATTATCAGTCAAAAATTTCCATAAAATTCAGTTTGAAAAAATTATGGCTGAGCTGATTTTTTTGAAATCACTTATACTTTTATTGATAATATGAACATAAAGATAGTGGTTCCAGTTTTTTTTGAATATAAAGCTTTTTCTAAAAGTATGTTTTATATAATTATACAACAGTTTTTTTCAATGAATAGTCAAGTGACGTGAAACTTCAAAGCAAAAAAAAACGCATTTGAAATTATTCTTTTTGTTCTGTAAAACGACAGTGCTAATTTTGTTTTTTTTTTAAATTAAAAACTACGCTAAAATTACCAGGTCAACTGTTAACCAATTTAGTTTAAATGGAGCCTCTTATGTAGCCCTACAAAACCTCATTAGGGTAATTTATCAAAAAAAATAGAAAACATTGAAAAACATTTATATAAAGTAGATATTTTTACTACACTTTAAGGCTAAATAAATTGTGTTTGGCTGAAAAAATGAGGCTAGAGTTGAAAGAAAAAGAACATATATCTACTTCTGCATTCTCCCTTTTATCCCCCTACAGGTTATATAAAGTACAAAGAGATGTATATGCGCCTCCTAGCGTAAAAATACGTCCAAATGACATGCCTCAATTCAATTTCGATTGTTTTAATCCGTCTCCTACGCGTTTTCTACGAACGCAATTAGTTGCGCAATAAACATCCCAAGTTGGCATAATTAAAAATTATGAAACCCCCATAACTTTACATTATATGTGAGGTATTTCTACATCTAAGCTTCGAACAACAATTATTTTTATGAATTTTTAAAGAATTTTACATTGTCAAAGTGTTAAAAAATTGAGTTAATCCAAATAACGAGATTATTGGACGATGATGATATAGGTGTACTTAACCTAGGACTAGTTTAAGGCTTGTTAAGATGCGGGTTTTACTGCTTATCTGCTTGCTTCCAAAAAAAATGACGGAATTGGAAAAAAAAGACCCCAAGCATAAATATTTCGAATTTTTTGCAAAATTGGGTCAACATTTTTTTAATATATGAAACAAAAACATACAATTTTTGGCTTCCGCTAGAGACATTTCTGATATTTCATTTGACTACATAAGAGGCTCAATTTATAAATTTTGGGGAAAAAAGGAAGCGGTAGCTTAGCATAGTTTCTAATGAGCTGTGAAGGGGACAAAAAGTATTAGTTTTTGAGGCAAATTTTTGGAAAAACATTGAACCATATTACTTCGGGCAAAACTTTTCACTTTTTGTCCACGTCTTTTTATTCTAATCTGTGTTTTTTTAAGTGTGTTTCAGTCGGGCGCAAATAGAGCCTAAAATCAGTTTAATCTGACTTTTAGTGACCTAAACTATCAAAAAATTTTCTCATCAAATAAATTTGCGATTGTGAAGCACCAATAGTATGTTTGGGATATAGTTAACGCCTCCTCCCCTCAGGGATTCGACCATATGACCACCCAAAATATCTCCCTTTGATTTTACTGTACGGCATCCATTTTTCATTGACCGACCCTATACTTTTCTAAAGTCACCATCGGCTCCAAAATGTATAACTTGAGAGAGAATGGTAGGCCAGAAAACCTCTTGTTGGTCAAAATTGTTCAAAAAACCCTCAACACGCAGCTTTTGGCTTACTGTTTTTCCAAAAACAAAACCCACGCTACGCTACAGTTATTTCTCTTAATAAAGTCTTTCGGGCGGTCTAATTATAGCGCCAATTCCAAATTTGTTTTATTTGTTAGAAAATTTTGTAAAACAATTTAGAAAGAACTGAAGAAAAAAACGACTAACGTCTCACAATGACCCTGGTCAACCCGATTCGGCCTAAGTTCCTGTCGGCCTCCTCCTGGTAGAACTCATACACGCCAGCATCATCCGCCGAGGCACTGTGTACTTCTAGATAACTAGCCCCCCAGTCCTCGATTATTTTGCCGTTTCTCCTCCACACCACAGGCAGGGTGGGGTCGTACATGTCTGTGTTTGGAGTGAGCTCTATTCTGAAACTGTCGTCCAAGTTGACTGTTTTGCTCAGCCATTCGGGTTTAAAAGAGCCTGAAAATAATTTTAAAAAACAAGTGAAGGCAGAGATAAAGTTTGTGTGAAGCAAGGGCGGACTACAAACAAGATCAGGTACCACAAACAAACATTGGATTAGATCGAATGATATATCATTTTAAATCCCGTAAAATTTTGATTCGAACAATATTTTTAAAAAATTTTATCAGAAAATTTTTGGTTAAAAATTTCTTATTTTGGAAAAATTTTGGAGGATCTATGAACGGCTATCTAAGGCCTGTCTAAGCATGGTTCGTTTCAATTTCGTTTAAAACTTGGGCTTCTTTTACTGCTAAATATAATCTTGAAATTTTAGTTCTTTAAAAGAAGCTAGCCGATTTAGACCTATTTAAATATCAAATCTGAGTAATGTATTCATACAATGCACTTTTTTTGTTCGTCAAAAAATGCTTAAAATCCGCCATTTAAATTATCTAAATTTCACTTAAAAGCGTTTCTTTTTAATTAAAGACGGTAGCCTTGAGCCTTTGAAAAAAGGGCCGTTCCGTTCATACGTTTTGTTTAAATTGGATATATGTTCATCGGAGATAAAAACTGAAAACTTTCATAATTTATTGCCTGGCCATTTTTCCATTATTACATTAAATGTTTTTATCTTATTTATGAAATTTATAGTTTAACAGAAACAAATGTATTTTGACACGCTTCGTCTGTTAACATCATTGTTGAATTATCAAAGACGTGTTCATTTTATTCCATCCATTGAAGGAGAAAAAAGATGAAAGAAGAGAAAAAAGTCATTAATTCAGTTAACTCGATTGACTGACAGGTCCTGAAATGTGTGTAATAACTTTGCTGGCACATCCACTGAATATGAATCAGCAATCAATATCCGGATATGAAAACTATTCTGCTCCACTTCTGTTCTGGCTAACCAAACAACGAAACACGAGGACCTAGGGGAACCCTCTCTTAAATTTTCACTTTTAGTCAGTTTAGAAGAAAGTTTATCCTGTCGAAAAACTTACTGTTCATGTGTGAGTTTTTTTATTGAGAAAAAAAATTTTTTTTTGCAAAGCTTTTTTTCAAAAAACAGTTCCTGATTTTACAATAAAAATAACTTTAAGCCAGAAATTTATAAACATAAGTTTTTATCACTAGACATTATCTTCATCACCAAAGTGATAACCGGATATTTGTTTCTTATTTCACTTCCTATACCAGTCCACGAATATATTCTGGCTAAAAACAAAAAAGCTCATCTTTTTTCGCCCAATGTTGACAGGCTGAAGGGTTAAGTATTTTAGAATATTTTGATATTTGATCCATTTTTGGTCATTTATGAGTGGAATGTGGTGTCCAGTTTATACATGTCATCATGTCATAAAGGTGCAATGACAAATGCCAATTAGGAAACACACCAGCAGGGAATACCCTGACATGTATTACTTCATAGCCCCCGGATCAGAAAAGGGGGATGAATGAACTTAAAATAACAACCCTAACTTGCTCCGACTGTTGTTTAACTAATTGATTTTGGACATTTTTTCATGACAGCTAACATTTTTACATTGTTATATTTGACGCTAAATGGCAGTTATATTTTTCTGAATGAATCATAAGTCTGGCAGCGTTAACTCAATTTTTTTTCTAAATCTTGTTCTTAATTCGTTTTTGTAATTTAAGATATTTTTGATGCTAGATAGCCTTAAATAGTTCAACTCGATTTCGTATTTCTTTTATTTTTTTTAGATAAGGTTCAACTCCATTTTCTTTCATTCGTGTGATTGAAATCTTAACTAAATTTGAGTTTATTTTCGCCCAAGTGTGTAAAAAATCAATAACCACGATTTTGAATGGAGAAGCGCCGACTTCAAAACGAAGCATTTGATTAAAACTGGCCTTTGAAAATAATCCCGCTGGCTCAACATTCTACAATGGAGGAACACACGCACTTAAGCTGATACATTTGAACTACATTTTAGTGTTGGAAGGCAGGCATTTCACTTTTATCTCGGGTCCAACCCCAGAAAAGGGTTTATGGACCAAAGAGCCCATAAAAGAATTGATAGAAATTATGAGCTCTGTTCACAACAATTTGAAGAAAACGTGAATTCAAGGAAAGTTCGAAATGTTTGTTCACGCGAAGAGGTTATTTGTAAAGCTCTCCAACAATATGGGTGGGGACAATGCGACCAGCTTAAGACAATACTAAAAAGACAATTTATCACCTAAAATTTTGTTTAAATTTGACAATTGTCAATCAGATTTTTCTGAGTTCCACCGTCATGGGAGCAGTATTGTTCCCTTATGTTTTCTTTCAGTTTCAATGCCGCAAAAACATGTGATTTTTAATAACAATTTGTATTGGGATTTTTATCATGGTTTATTTATTTGTTGTATTCTAACCATAGCACAAAATAATCATCCGAGTTTTGTTACACTTGATCTTTAATCTGGTCTTCTTGGAAAAAAAGACATTTTCCAGTTCAATGAAGCCGAAATTTTTCCGATCAACGAACTCATTTTTAGAAGGATAAAGAAGTTCAAAATGTCACTTAACATTTTTAACAAGCAATGACTCATTTTTTTTTACTAATAAGTTTTTTTTTGCTCTGTAAAATGTACAGTCTGTCCATTTTAACTAAGCTTAATCCTTATTCAAGCTTGCATAATTATTGTCAGGTTTAGATTTTTGGGTGCTAAAATAAATGAATGAAAAAAAACTACTAACTTTTTGATGGCATCTTGATCATGTTTATGCTAAGTTGTCGTTTCGAATTAGTGGTCATCCCAAATGGGTTGCTTCTGGCCGATGACCCACGTGACCCCATGCTCTCTCCAGGCACTGTGAGTTTGTAGGCGCCCGTTATTCCGAATGTCCTGTCTGGCAGACTGTAGGCCACCCTGTGGTAATTGCTGGACGAGATCGGTTCAATTATTTTCGGCTTCGTGCCCGTAGGCAGACTGAACCCTAAACACAAACAACAGGGGGGTTTGAAAAGACCCTGTGAGTTTTTCTATTAGTTGGTTAAAAACGGGGTTTTACTAGGGTTTGATTTGTTTTAAAGTTGTTTTTCATAGTTGGTTCTATTGGTTCTCGTCATCTCTAGCTGCAACAACTGAGAAACAACTACAAATCATGGCGAACTTATCACCCGATTTCTTAATCTTCAGCAAGACGATTGCGAAGTGGCTAAATATTCCACCCCACGGACCAAAGGGCGGTGGTTCGCAGTCCAGCTAGATCAGTGCTCACTGCGGTCAATTCAACAACTCTCAGCACATAAAATTAACCAAGAAAATGCATGGATTGCTAATGCAGTGGTCACACAGCGGCTCAATGAGAAGTAAAGAGTTCATTTGTTTGCAGGGGTGGATCTAGGAATTTCTCGGAGGGGGTCAGATTTTCAAAAAATTTCGAAACTTTGTCCGCTTTTTTTTAGATCGATCAAATTGGTTTTCCGAGCTCTCTCAAAGCACTGAATAGACCCTAATTTTACCAAATTTTTTGCGCCTCAGGTAAAATTTTGAAAAAAAAACAGACCAAAAAAGGCGTTTTTAGGCACTTTTTGACAAATTTTTACCAAAAATCGGGTTTTTTCGGAGCACTTCCCCCCCCCCCCCCTCAAAATTAGTATAATTTGGCGCGCAAGGCGCCTTTAGAAAAATTTTAGGGTAAGTCAGCCAAAAAGGGATATCTCGAAATAGCACAAAGGGACACCTTTGGGTCGCCATGGGGCCGAATCCCTGATAAGGGTGCGTCCGCAACCCCCCTCCCCCAAAACCGCCCCTGTTTGTTGTTTTTCCCGGGCGGGTATTTTTCCTTAAACTATAAAAAACCTAAAAGCAAATGCTTCAATCTGATTGGCTGTATTTAAGTACGTTAGCAGTGCATAGGTTGGATATCTCGCTCAATCATCCAATGATGCGCTGTTAAGTTATCTTGGGCAAGATAAGAAAAAAAACTCGGAAAGTTTAGTAATATATAATGTTCGACATCAATGCTCATTTAATAAAAAAAAACCATTAAAATCATTTTTCAAAAAAATAATTGTGAAAACATGATCGAATTAAATTAATTATAGTTTGCAGTTAACTCTGTATTTTTATTGTAATTTTTAAAATTGCTATCAGTTTTAATTGTTTACTGTTCCGACTTTTGAAGAAAAAGCTAAATATCTATGCTTGGGGTATTTCATGCAAACAGTCATTTTTCGACTTTTTAACTGAGCAGTTTTGACAACAAAATTTTATATCAACTGAAAAAAAAATACTGTTTGAAGCTCAAACTGAAAAAATATATCATTTGTGATCTTTTTTGTAAAGTTTATGGGGATTTGAAGGCTGCCATTTTGGTCAATATGGGATAATTAAAGCGCGACAAAATGCGTTCTATAACCCGCGTAAGCGGTGGCTAAAAGCGTTGCAAATAGTGTCATGTCAAATGAGTTGGTTTTTTAATTAAGAAATCAGAGATTAAAAAATCCTTTTTTAGTTTATGTTAGAGTGTATTGGGACAAATCGAAAAAACAGTTCTTCGAATCATTTCGTTAATTTTTTTACAATGTAATGTTTGTATTGGCCTTAATGTGCAGACGATACACTCAGGGCTTTGTCCTGCTATAAGAGCAATCTTGGTATCAATTACAATTGATATTATTCGATATTCATCGATTTTGTTTTCTAATTGTTAGCTTCCTGGACAGTGTGGTAGTTGTACATATTTTAACCAGATATAGTTGCCTGACTGTAACTCGAACCTTGCAGTTTTCAGCATTTTTTTTTTCCAAATTAATTTTTGAACAAATTCATGCTTTGATATTTGAAGAGAGTTACCGAATCCTTTTGCGTTTCTTTTTTTAAATTCAGGCCAATTTTAAATAGTAAGATAACTGTTTTTTTCCGGATTAAATTTATAACACCCGAAAATTTTTAATGCTATGTGCTCAAACTTTAACAATTATATTATTTGCAATTCTATTACAGCACACCATGATTGTAAATTTTGCTTGATAGTTTTTTTGGGAAACAGAAGGATTTTATATTCAATTAAACTTGATTTCAAGAAACTTTTTGCAAAAATTATTATCAATAGTTTATTTTGAAAACGCATTTTTTTTGTTTTTTGAAGTGAAAATAGTTTAAGCATTTAAAATTTGACACTTATAATATACTTTGAGAATGATAAAGTAGAAATATAAAAGAATTTAAATCAATCATTTTTTGAATTGAATATGGGTTTCCCCTTGCGATTAAATCACGCGTGTTTCTTAAAAATTTTTAATCGAAAGTGAGTTTTACTGAAATCCTTTTCCAAACTTCAGGCAATCATTCAGCAATAACAAAACCGATTGTTTTCACGTTTTTCAGTAAAAAAAAAATCAGACAAAATCAGCACTATATATCCGCGATATAATCTCATCGTAATTTTTGATTGAAAATTAGTTTTTTCAAATGACCTAAAGTACTTTGATGGTTTGTTTCTTTGATCAATAAAAGCATCATATTGTAATATTGACCGATTCATTTTGTGAAAAATGAGGAAAATTTATGTCTTGGCTAGTTAAACGGACAAGCCATATATCTATTATGAGAACCATCTGCGGTTTATGTTATTGTGGCTTTACAACTTGCTAGTTATACCAAAAATGGCGGCCGAGTCAGATGTTCCTCCCTGTCCACATAAAAAGAGCAATCAAAGGGCAATAAAAGCCGGGCAGTGCGATGATGGCCGCTGCTCCGTTAGAAACTGGAAACATATTTCCTATTCTTCGGTGGTTTGCAATAAACAAAGCAAACAGCAAACCGGATAAGGCAAAGAACAATGGAGGGGTAATTGTTTTCCGTTTCAAGCCAGGCAGATGAACTGACAGGTTGATAATCCTATTAGATCTGATTCGATGGCAGGGGACTTGCAAGCTTAGATGTCTGGACACAAACCAGAGTTTATTGCAATGGAGCGACTCCGAAGCTAAAGCAAGTCTGGATAAAGAAAAGCAGTCTAATTTAAAGAACTGACGCCAAATAGGAATACAAATCTCCACCGAGAAGCCGTTCATCAGTTTTCGGTGATTGGCGCTTTTCGATTTGATTCATTGGTGACTAAAAAAATGTTTCTCCGAATAAAACCTCGTTAAGAAAATTATTCATCAAAAATTGACCCAGAAATAAATTTTCAACAATCCAAAAATTTCAGCCTGAACGGATCCAATTTCATTTTAGATATGCTATTTTAATTTTTTTTATAAGTTCGCATTGACCATTAACAGGAAATTTTTCCAATGAAACCTTTTGTTTCCATTTCAAACACTTGCCGTGCTGACAAGAACTCGATTGCAATCGATTTTTTACAGGTAAAGTAGACATATTTGTTTTGATGATTGGCCTGAAAATAAACTATGAAGATAACCAATATCTAAATATTCTGCTTCAAAATGAATTTTTATAATTTGATTTTTTTCCAATTCTTTGTTTCATGGCTATCAAGAATGAGCCTAAAAGGTTGATAATGAAAATCACATTAAAACAATGTTGCATAGTTTCCCCGCGGGAACTCTTAGTTTTGCACAATACGCAATAGTCTGTGGTAACAATTTCTCTTCGAGTGACTTTTGCTCTCTGTAGCTCTGATGGAAACTTTCTTCAGTAAACAATTTTGCTTAAGCTTCAAACAAAAAGATTGAATAATTCAGTTTTGTTGAAATTTTGATGATTTTTACTACCTTGAAAAAACCCATATAAAATGATCTGAATCCAATTTTTATGCAATATAATTAGTTTTTTTTCTACCATAAAAATCCATGAATCCTATTCAATCGATTTATGTATCTAATTGGGTTATCGTAAATACCTCAAACTTTTCTAAAATTTGCTACTTTAGAACTTTTCGTACAACACTCGTTACAAAACTAGGCTCTAAGAATGTTACGAGATAGGCACTTTTTCTTCCAAAATGTTTTATTTTCAAACTTTTTTTCCTATAGCCAGTTCAAAAGTTCTCCGCTGACGAAGATTACAAAAACGGAAACTCTGAGGCCTAACGACTCGTTTCGCTACAAGACTTTACTGAAAACTTAAGCTAACTAACATAATAACTAACTTAACTTAACCACTAACTTGAAAACGGTAGTTTTTTGCTGATAAGCAGAAATTTTGCCGATCTATATTTGAACCCGGCACACAACACTTCTGCAGCTATATGACATGAGTGGTCAAACATAAATTTCTTTTGTCTGGAAATTGTCTTTTAAACCACTAATTACGTATAATTAGGAGATGCGTTGAAAAAAAAATCAAATTTTTGTTTCGAAAATTTTTGTTCGAAATGCATATCTAAAAAACTTGAGATTCATATACATTTGAAAAAAAATAATTTTCCAAATTTTTAAAAATCCATATGAAGATATAGAAACATATTCACTCTTTTCGGCAATTTTTTGAATATTGGTAAAAAGTTATTACCTTAGATTTTTGCTAATAAGAAAGTTGTAGGATAAGAAAGTTGTAGAAAAGTTGTACTTCCTTTAAATCTTATAAGAAGTTTGAAGATAGAAGAATTTTTTGTAGGCTGGTCAACCTTAGCTTACCCCAATGTGTTATCTTTATGAAAATTGATATAAATCAAATTTGTCAGTGCGGGCAATAACAAAGCAGAATATATCAACGACTCGCCTTAAAAACTTTTTTTGAAATAGAAATTGTTTTTAATCCTGGAAGTATACTGATTTTCTCCCTAATCTGAGAAATATTAATTGTTTTTTTTTTCATGCAAAATTCCAGATGACTCGGACTTTAATTAATGTATGACTCAGATTGAAAAAATATTTTTTGTACACAAAAAGTTTACCTGATTGAAAACAAATTTCTTGTAACATTTTTTATGTTTTCTAACCACCCTCATTTCAAACAATATCTGAATCTACACATATGGAAATGAAAATCCATACTTAAGCAGGACTTCTAAACTGAAAA